GCATTACAAATATAAACGCTGACAGTTATTTTTCGAAGACCATCGCAAAACGGGTTGACATATGTTAATCATTTTAACGGCTAATAGGAAGGATTCGAGCAACGCTACTTTTTGAAATACTTTTGTGCAATAGGCCTCACTTGCTTCGAGCTTAATGGATTTGATTTGGGAATTTGGATAGTGAGATTCATCCCTCAATCGATATTTCAGAGACAAAGCGATTAATTCTTGTCTAGAATATCCTCTCAGCAACATTTCATCTCACTCAATACAATCGGATGAAAGTATTCGTTCTTATTGATGTCTATGAACATATCGTTGTGACCATTTTCCGTCTAGCATTCACAAAACAGTTTAGATATAAGAACTGCTAACCTGCCCTCAGATTTACAGTACGGAGGTTAGAAATTGTATTCGCCATTCTGATAGCCACATTAAACACTTGATCACCCCTGTGCGCAATCTGTCTTCGGAGTAAGCTGAACAACTTCGAGACCTGTAATACTTCACACGAAATCCAAGTAGACATTACTTTCATCGGCACAAATAGTTGTACCTTTCTGCTTAAGGTCAAGCATTGGCAGAATGAATCTTTAACTGCAAAACGTCACCCAAGAAATCTGTGGCTGTATAGGGTTCCACTGCGTCACAAGTGAGGCACAGTTTTCAACGGTTCTACGTTCAGCACTGTTGATAAACCTCATGAATACAAAAATCACATTGACCGGAAGATAAACTGCAGCAGTGAGTTCAGTTTTGAGACAAAAAAGTCGTAAAAACTTCAGTGCTACCCGGAATTTGATTTCCTTTTGTGTGTAGGACAATCTAGATTACGGAAGTTCCCAGCACCCGGTAAAATTAGGCTAAAGCCTATTTTTCCATTTAACACATTCTTCTCAAAGCGGTGTAACTGCTACGTTGTTAAAACGCAAAGACATTGGGTGGGGCAGACCTGACAAGGCAAGAGTGAGATTCTCTGACCGGAGATTCATTTTTCGTGTGCCCTGTAAACAAATATCTGGAAATGGTAGTGAACTAGTCGGACTGAGCTAAAGAGTAAAGTGCTTTGGTCAGGTATCAGCCAGTCCCCGGAATTTCATGTAGTACCCTGAAAGGCATGTACACAGCTGCGGACAAATGCCGGATTATTTCGGTCTTCCAAACTGACAACGCAGCAAAGCGATCATAGTTAGCAGAGCAGGAATATTCCATACGGCGGGCAAACTCACGTCTTCACAGTAGAAACTTGTCAACATCTATGCGATATGAACCGCTGGTCATCAGTTTGTGGTACAGTATTCACCTATAATCCAGAAGATTATCGATTCAATTCCATTTACCAATTCTTGACTTACGCACAAATAATGGATAATCCCAAATGTGGGTGAAACATTCATGCAGTGTCCCGAGACAGGATGAAATCCCCATTGAACCGATTGTTGAGTAGAGGCCTGTTTCGTATGCTGAACGCGAAGACAGTGCGTAGATCTTTGAACACCACAGGTATCGGTAACCTGCGTGCGAATTCGCGCAGTAGCCAATGTAAATGAGGGCTTTGCTCGGCTTACTCCACTAACGGCTGAAGTCCCATAAATCTCTATTTGTCTTCGCGTGTTTGATCACGCATGATAGGATAGGTTGCATCAAACGAAATTTTGGAGTTTTCATTCCATTTAAAGATTGAAAATCCATTCTTATGTAAAACATTTATCACATAGTAAAGCGATTAACAGATTAGCGATTCGCTTAATTTGAATGTGTGCAGAACTTATGCATCATCAAGCAGGTCGGCTAAGTAAACCAGTTTCCGATTTTTTAACAATCAAACAACTAAAGTCGAAAATTTATTATTTGTGTGTACATATGCATGTGGTTTCAGAAGTTTTGGATTCGAAATGTTCAGACAGTACTCAGACTGCCGTGCAAGTGACTCAGAATGAGGTAAACTTGTGATATTGATGCATATTATTGCTTGTGGAAGAAGTAAGCATCACTTGCGAGAATATAATCACGTCGTGGCATCTTTACCACCGGACTGTGTACAATATTTAACGGAAGAGAGAGGTGGACGGTAAAAGAGTTCAGGCCGGTGTTCCTGATTAATTTTCATCACCTGATCTACAACCATGGAACGTGAGTTTTTAGGATGTGGTAGGACTTTCGATTGTGCAGATTCCCATAGAGATACCGCAAATAAAATCGACGGAGGACACATAAGGAGCGAGAAGAAAATCGAAGTAGAGATAGGTTGGGACTGGAACCAAGTCTGGTGTTAAGTATGCGTTCATTTCACTTAGTTCAAATGACTTTATTCTGACAGTTCAAGTGGAACGGGTCAATAGTTCAAACACGTCGTCTGTATAGCGCCCAACTCTACTTGGAGTATAAGGTCGAAAGCATCAAAACAACTCGATAAATTCCACAAACAATGATTGCCCAAAGTGAACAAGTGGCCACTTCATTTTGTGAATTTATTATTTATTATCTATCGTCTTGAGATGTCAGTTTTGCGGACAGCGTACTCCTGAAACACCAGAAACCAGTTACCAAAATGTTTGCTGTTTTAAATCAAATCTTCGTTTCAAGCTGATCAAAGTGAGCATTTTAGAAGTGTCTGCGAGTGAAGCAGAGTGAGATGCCACTAAATTGTCTTCAGCCGTGTAGTTCCTCCGGAGTATGTGTATAACGCACACATGGCCAAAGAGAGCAGAACCGCACTCACGCAACGCTACGGTGGTTAGATAATGTCCCGCTTAAATAAGTGACCCGACAAAGGAAAGTGAAGTACTGTAGCCCTGTGGCAATAACGAAACGTCTCCTGATTGACAAGTTACGCAGAAGCACACTTTCGTTTTTCATCCCACTTTATGGAGCTTCGATGACTGTTGACATTGTAATGGCCGTACATCAAATGTCACTTTCGCCGTCCTCTGTCATCTCTGATTTTTGAGATGTTTCGGAAGCCCTTTTAGCTCACAGTCTGTGCAAAGCAGACAAAGATTTTAGTGCTCCAGCATTGGCCGTCCCCTCTTGAAGATTTCCGCATATGTGCAACTCACTTCCACTGCTCGCTACATCTTCAAGCTGGTTTGGCTCTCGACCCGTCCCCTCTTGAAGATTTCCGCATATGTGCAACTCACTTCCACTGCTCGCTACATCTTCAAGCTGGTTTTGGCTCTCGACAGTTCATTGACTGTAAGTAGGCCACAACTTAGTATTTAATCATACTTTGTGGTGGATAAACTATATGATTCTAATCAGCATCTCCTAACCACTTGGGAAGTGCTGAAAATTTTCAGACTGTCAGAATGGCATTAAGTATTTTGACAGTACGTTCCTATTCTGTCAGTCCAATGTACTAAACTTTCGATTTGTGAAACTTTTTTAGTATTGCAAACAATAAACTGATACAATGACTGCAACCTTATATATTCACTGTATTCAGTATACTAAGTTTTTCCTTGTTTTGTGCATGTGCTTGAGGAGCCTTTGAATAGCTTTTTGAGCTCTGAGTTCTTTCAAGGACATCAATTTCCCCTCCCAAACCAGATTATCTCTTGATGGGTTATTTTTATCGAAAAATTATGCACTAATTTTTGTGTTGTCCACTTGTATCCACAGCGATCAACAGGAAGAGTGCGTATTCAGGCCCCGTTTGTCTTTAGGTGTGTTTCTCGAAGTTTCGAAAATCCTCGACATAATTTCTTGTATTTTCAGCTTTATTGCACCCAGTTAGGAAGGCCTTCATTTCGGTTCAGGATATGACGTTTTCCCAGAGGGATGTGCACCTTAGCCCGCAACAAGGCGTGGTCTCATTTACATTTGGCATCATGTATCAAATTTCTGATCAGTATGATACGCAAAGCCCGCTAATGCGCACTCAGATTGTAGCGTAAGTGTTCGATTACTTTTCTTAGGTTAGTAAACTTGGCCGCTTATAAAAGCTCTACATGATACTGGGAATTAAAAATGCCGCACATCTCCCAGTCCTTGCCAACCGTAGCTTCGAAATCGTCCACCAGAGAGACAGAAAACTTAGGTAGTAGATTTGACCAGGACTGAAAGTTGCTTACCATGTTTGTGCCATCATTTGTGTCGCATTGAGATGGGTGGGGTTTATCTTGTAGGCGTTGATTTGTCTTTGGCAAGAGAAGCTCGCCTTTTAAGTCTCTCTCTCATTCAAACCCGCGTTCTCCAGGCTCCAATTCGTGGAGCTTGTTGTTCTCCGCGTTAGAATCCACGAAGTTTCGACGTAGCTGAATAACCTGGGTATTTGAGCTTACTTTTAGTGCACCATCCAGAGGTCTTGATATGAGGTTCCGACCCACAAATTAGTGTAATTGTAAGCACGTACGTCCGGCTCTTTACACTTTACACAACAATTCCGTTTTAAGAAGGCTGAAATCGTACGTTCGAATTTATTTCGATAGTATTGGATAATGAGACGTTCAGGTTCATCACCTGCTGACTGATATCTGCGACCTTTAGGGATAACCTTATTCAACCCGTACTTCCTCTAGCGCTACCCATTTAAATGCGATTAATTAAGGGTTATATTTTACGGCCTTCGCAATGCCATCGCTAATAACAATAAGGAAGTTACTAAAAGCTGGCTTGGTTAAAACGATACTCACAGTGCGGTGACGTTCTAATCTTGGTCGATCTGCTCCCCTTTGGGATTGTGGGCATGGCCGAATCCGACGGAAAGTGTGCATTCATTAAAGAACTGAGGCCCGACCACCACAACAGGGCAATGGCTTTCTGTTTCGATATATGCGTATGTGGATACTCGTGCTTGGTACTTTAAATTCCACGGCCCAGTGATCCGGTAAATCGATAGAATAAGGAACATTTTCTACTACACACTGACGAGAATTTGACTCACGAACTACATCGATAAATCACAAACTTGTTTGTCAGCGAAAGGAAATTAAATTAGAGAACAAGAAAATCTGTAGGATCAATATATAAAACATCTCATCCTTCTTTCCCAATCGCAGGTGATCACGATTTTGAAAGGTCACAAACCGGAAGAGCAAGGTCATGCATCACCAGAAGAGAGTACTAGACACCTCATTATGTATGGTGAAAATCGTGGGCAAAAACGAATAAAGTGATGGCACGTCACGAATAATGGCAACCAGCTGCCATTGCTTGGCTAGTGAAAATCACGGACGAATTTACTTCGACACCATTAGTGAATTTGAAGCCGGTAAGTACTTAAAAAGCACGGTAAACTACTTGGACGTGGCAGGTTTGTGTTCATTATATCTCTAAATTTCAGAAGTAGGAAGGATTTGTAGGTTGCCAAAAACGGACGTTATCCAAACCTATTTCTTGGGGAGTATCTTAAATATTTCAATCTCCAAGTTATCTACATAGGTGAGCAACTTCTGTGCGCCCGGGTCGAAAGCATCTAGACTCTCAGTGGAGCCAGATTTGGTTGTCACTAGTTTCACTATCACTTGGGTACGATGCCATTTCTACTAGATGGATAATACAGATTTAACAAAGTTGTCATTACTGATCGACAGATCTATAGGAAATCAGGTACTGTGAATGAGTTGCTCAAAGGTATGAGTAATGAACTAAACAGTGACATCTTATTTTGAATACGGATAATTACTCGGAACCAATATTAAGCAACACCCCTTCTTGGCGAGCTGAGACGAATGAGAATTTCAAGAAATTTGATTGGTTACCTTGGAACAGATTGGCGTAAAGTAGAAGAAACTTACGCTATGGTCAAACATAAAAGGGTTCAAGAGGTCCACCATACTCCCAGTTACAGTATACTGCGTCTTTACTACTTGAAGATAAAAATAAGTTGCCAAGAATAGAAGAACACGGATTTTGTATTGGGATAAACGTTGACCCATGCTAATTCAAGTTCCTTCGGTGCCACTCTCTTGATTATTGGGTGAAAAAGTTTATAGAAGAGTTCTACCGAAAGCCGACAAGAACAAAGATTATTCTGCCCTCATTATATTATGAGTACATAATGTATTGGATTAAAGGATACTGCAGAAATATATCGGCCTTGAAGTAATGCATAATTGGATACGGAGATTGATCATTTAATATGAAAAAGGGACACGAGTAAATTCCCATAAGAGAGCTAAATACGGCGGATTTAGGACGGAGTGCAATCAAATGACCACAAACCTATCAGCATCGTAAAAATGAGCAGAAATGTGTTCGTCAGAGATAATGAACACCAATGAAGTAGAAACAAGACAAAATGGATGTGCGAAGACAAGCAAATCATGATGCTTCTAATGGCCAGCGCAGAATGAATTGGGCAAAATAGGGTTGTTGAGGCAAGGTACTGGTGGATTTGATAGTAAGCATCTCAAATCCAGGACGAAAAATAAAAAAAATGAACATATGAAAGTTAATTTAGGTACACCAGGGCGACAGCCTTGAGAAAGCTTTCACAAATGTACACCATCGCCAATAAACATGGTTTCGGTTTAAAATGAACAAAGCGAACGGATTGGAATCAACGAAACATTCACCGTTCCTAAATTCATTTGTAGTAAGCAATAGCAAACAAGAACCAATACAATTTTAAACGGCACCGAAAAGCCGGAAATCAAGGTTGTAAATCCCATTTTAACTCATGCACTCTCCTTGCGAACGCACCGATTCTATGAATCAGTCACTTGCAAGTAACCATGTGAACGTTTGTCGGCATTTACGGTCGATTTGTTTCACGCGGTGTAAGAGATCTCGATGATCTAGTCTGCGTCTGCCGTAAGTTCCGGCTAGCCTAGTTAAGAAAAAACACCACCCATCATGGCCTTCGCCAGGTCTCTATGATCAGGCGTCCTCAAATGACCGGCAAATTTACTTCCTGTTTTGTCTGTCCCAACTATACCGGTCACGCAAACGGTGGATAATGCCTAAATTCACTCCTCAAAATTTGCTAACGTTGAAATTCAATCCAGCCGAAATGGCGCACTTGCAAATTTTGTCTTTCCAATCAGTTTTTAACTAACTCACCAGAATTTCTTAATAACTTGGATAATGCTTTCGATTTAGCGGCTCACTGTTTCCGCAACCAATTGGATTTGCAAATGAGTGTATTTCTCGAAAACAGTCCGATTCGGGTTCAAGTAGATCATAAGGTTAATGGAAACTCGGGGACTGCGCCTACCTGATGAGCCCCAAGAAGGGAGAAACCGGTCGTGGGTTGTCGAAGAGTTTTCAGCAACCTTGTGAGTAGTTTCCTTTATGAAAATGGATATTGTGTTTAGCATGATTGCGGTAAACAGTACGCTGGTGCCCAAAGTAGTTTTACGGAAATGCAAGCAATATTTAACGGTTTCACCCTCACGTTTCCACCGGATGGAAGTCGCGAAAATTTTGAGACCATAAAATAGAGCAAAATGCTGTATATTCAATTTGGCGTCAAGGAACACTTCTAAACTGTACAACAAGGATACCTAGCACAATTTGCTCGCTCGAATTCCTTTAAAAATTCCAAATAAAAAGTGAGCAAGCCGCGGTTCCAATTTCCCATTTTAGATCACCACTTTTTATTAGGAGATATTTGGGTGATGAGAACTTTCCAACAAGCGCAATCAAAATGCTTAGTTTCTTCTCATTTTTCCATCGATAAGGTTGCTATTGCATTGGTCAGAGAACCATTAGAGCCATAGCGAAAATAGCCGTTTTTCTAACTGTCTTTGTACCACAATTTTCGCAAATCTCAAAACTTCTGCCAGGTCGAAGTCACTTCTATTTTACTGACTTTTTCCGTGTCCGTAACGCACTTAGAGGAGTATAACCACTAAAAAGACTGCTTCTTCAGCCAGTATTCAAAACCCAGCATTGTGCAACAAAAGCCGTATTTTTTTCGGTGGAGGAACTGGTCGGAGTTGTAACAACTTGGACGTTTGGGCCGCTAGTTAGACGGAATAAATCGCGTCATCTTAATAGTACAACATAAGTATTTTAACAAGCATTATATGTCATTTGTCATTTCATCACTTTTGAGCTATTCATTAGAAAAGAGAGACTAATTCCAGGCATGTTTTACCGCCGGAATTGTTTCACACTATGTAAATCGCATTTAACGTAAACCTAATTTGGACATATTTATCCATGCAGAAAACCAAGAAAATATAAGTGACACTATCACGTGATCCCCCTGTTTTCACATTTCTAGACTGCTGTTTTTGAAGACAAGGGAAACCGATACTAGTGCCTGAAAGAAAGAACACGTTTTTTGGTTACATGGCAACAAGCGGTAACCCGCCCTTCACATTCATCACGCCAGCAGTTTTTTGAACTCATCAAATACACGAAGTATAACCGCAGAATACTTTAGTCTATATGAGGATTATTCATGATGGAAAGTGTGGTACTCCCAAGTATTAGCAAGTTGTTTCTTTCGTTCCTCACTTTCACGTTCTTATCCTCTTTTTGCATAACTTGGAAGAGAGTAATTTGATTCGCACATCTTATGGACGTCCGTTCCATTGGCGGAGCATAAAACCAACAGATGATTTTTTTTAAACTCAGGACAGGCGTTTTTGTTTACCTTTTCACCTCCATTTATTTGAAGTTGTTTGTTATCAACTAAAGCATAATTCGTTGCCGTTTAATATATCCCCGAGGATTAATTCCGAGTCCACATTAAATATTCTCTATCTTTTACCGAGCAAAGCTTCTGCGCTTGTTGACGTCTTATATTAATTTCCTGTGGAACAAATAAAGCGATTGTATTGGTCATGGTAGGCCAAAGTTCCAGTTTCCGAAACCGTCCCGAAGAAAAAAACAAAATTGATATTGTTACCGAAATTGCTGCTCATTATAGTGCAGGTTCTGTATTCCTCAAGCATTGCGTTACCGGAAAGCCGTCACCAGCTAGATAATATTTTCTTGATATTCAGACTGCGAGACCGTAATTAGTATACAAACCTTAAATTTGTAGTAAACATGGAAAACGGATGTACTAGCAAATCAAATATTCGTGATTATCTACTATGGACATCGACACATTGGTTGTAAATGTTTCGCCTGCAAGATGAATGCTTTGGCTGTTATTCAGTCACGAGAATTCGGGTTGCGTTTGTGTAGGCGATTCTGGTCGAGCGTGGGTTTCGGTTGTGATAAGTCATTCAGATGTTAGATTCCAAGATCCATTGAACGACAACTAAACACCACTGTGCAAGGTCCGTCAGCTATCCAGAAATGTATACTGCTAAATACCTGGACTTGATGCCTACATCCGAGACGTGTAGAGAATCTGTTGCGCCCGGCATTTTTGCGAGCTCATGATGTTTATCCAACCAGGGATGGAAACGAATATAGGGGATAGGAGTCAAGACCCGTAATTCGGTTCGCCTCTTCTTTACCATAAAAATGCTTCAGCGACTAATCCATCACAACCACTATTGTAAGTTGCACACAGATCTTTATTTTTTACTCGACTTATTACATCGTGTCCCAAAAATGCAGCTGCTATTATTGACGAATACCATCCGTGTGTTTCTCGTCATTTCCGCACTTAGTGAAACTTTGGCATCGCCCACATGAAGCACAAGGCAGGACCGATTTAGGACAGACGCGAAATTTCAGCATGTGCTCAGATTTCTAATCAAGGGTATCCAAATCTCCATACCACTGCTTTGCTTCTTAGAAGATCCATAAGTACATGGGAGCATTGCAACTGAAAATATAATGTTCCCGTTTCCCAAGGGTTATTGGGACAGAAAGGAGTGGAAAAGTGCGCACTTACTATTGAAGGTCAACGGCTTACGAGTTGCCGTTCTGATGTATGGATTTGGCATAACAGTCTAGCTGAAGCCAGGGGCTACTGATTCATCAGGCTTCACACGTTGAACGAAATGGTCCTCGCCAAACCATCCATATAAAGACAATTATTTCCGTCCCGTAAGTGAAGCTAATCTATGCTGAAAAGCCGAGAAGCACTGCACAGTTGTTTCATCCTTATTGGGAATCATCATCAGTGTGCATCTCACGAAACTCCGAACAGTCTCGAACCCGCGACCTCCTGGTTAGTAGTTTGAACACTTAACTGTTCGGCCAAGAGTGGCCGATCAGCAGTGCTTCTCGGCTTTTCAGCATAGATTGGCTTCACTTACAG